AAAAAAAGACCCTATTTTTCAACAAACTCCTGTTCTCCTCATTGCTAGACTGTTTGGTCCCTGACAATAGAACATAAAGCCTATCCATTGTTTCACATACTAATTAAAAATAAATGATCATTATGGACAAATTATTTATCTTTTGTAATTAATTAATTTATCGTGCATCCCTAAAATAAGTTACTTCCTTAGGACAGGTAAATCCTACTCGGAGAAGCCATTCTTTAAATTTTGCAGTTCAACTTTGTTTTCTCCAACTTGGGGTTTTATTTTGAAAGTAGAACCGGATGGAGCCTCCTCAGCAGAACCAAGCAGGAGTGCCTCTGCTGGCCACTTCATTCATTAGAAATTCCTGGCAAATAATACGAAACAAGACTACACATGGTGGGAGTAGATAGCAGCTGTTTATTAAAGGTTTATTGCCGTACATTAGCAAAAACATTTCATACATTACACAGTCATCAATCAACAAGACAAACAACAAGCTCACTTCCTGAGGTACAGCTTCAGATTTGTGCCTACAACATGTACAAATATGATAGCTGACACCCATCCTTCACACCAGTGATGTCACACCTAGAGAAAAAGAGAAAAGAAATAGGTCATAGTGATAAATACCAAAATCATATTATGTTGTTTGTGCAAGCAATTGCTGAATCAAAACAGCACAAAACTGTGCAAAAACCCAACAAGAAGCAAAGCTGGTTAAGTTGGGATAGTTCTACATGAAGCTAACATGGAGAATATTATAGAACTCAAAAACATGTACCTTCTGTTAAAGGGACAGTTTACCCCAAATCAAAAATACCCGTAGTGCTTTTTATTCATCTAAATTGTTTTGGTGTGAGTTTTGGAGATATCGGCCATAGAGATGTTTGTCTTCTCTCCAGTATAATGTAACTAGATAGAACTGAACTTGTGGTGCTCAAAGCCCCCAAAAAAAACATTTGAAAAACTCAACAGCAACATCCTTTCCAGAAACCATGAGCCGGTTACGCAAGATAATCCAGAGCTTGTTGTGAGACGTTTCATGTAGGAACTTTCTACTGAACAACATCTGCAAACTGGAGCTGAACGTCAGCTACCTCACTGGAGCTAGGGGAGCTAGCTAACGTCTGTACGTACAAAGAACATAGTCCCTACGTGAAACTGCTCATAACAAGGTCTGCTGAGTTTATGATTTCTGGAAAGGGACATTATATTAGAAAGAAAGCAGACATCTCTACAGCCAGTATCTCCAAAACTCAGCACCTCACACCAAAACTATCTGAATGGTTAAACAGCTCTACAGCTCGGAGGAAAAGTATTTTGTATTGTGCTGCCATCGCTCACCACAGACTCACCGTGGGAGTACTTGCACTGTTTGAGCGCCTCGTTGAAGCCCTCACATAAACTCAGGTCAGACTGGTTGGTGGCACAGTCTAGGAACTGTCTGACCTCAAATTGACAGGGGCCTTGCTGGGCCGGGGCGGGCCGGGGGGGCTCCTGGAATCATACGAACAAGGAAAGAAACACATCAGACATTCGGCCACAACTTCACCAGTATCATATTCAGACAGTCAGTTGGTGAATCACTGCTACATACATACATTACATATAGTACATGAAGCTAAACAAGACCTGGCTTCTGTTGCTTAAAAAAACAGGTTTATATGAAAAACTTGACAAAATAAGCCAAAGTTTTCATATTGTAGACATTTTAACATTATTGGAATTAAAGCTGCAGATGATTCTTAGAAAAATAACAAAAACAAACAAACTAATAATAAGAAAGAAAGTTTTTTTTAAACTAAATCCAAATCCAAATATTACACTGTAGTAAAAAAGAACATTTCCATCCAGGTGAGGGGAAAAACAAGTGCAAGACCTCCCAAAACAACAACCCAGTGATGACCTATTTTACATGTTAAAGTTCAGCTAGGTTCAGTGATCCAAACACCTTAATCGTCTGTCTGATCACCCTCTCACCTGGTATGCAGGCTTGGCTGGCTCTGGACTGCTGCTGCTGCTGCTCCCGCTGAACGCTCCGGTGAGGGCACTGCCGACAACGTGGCCCACAGCTGAGCCTACTGCCACCCCGGCAGCTGTGGTAGCCATCTGGGCCATGAGGCCAGGCCCCTGGGACTGTGTTGGAGCTGGGGCCAGGGCGGCGGGAGGCGGATGAGCGGGTGCTGGAGCATGGGATGGAGCTGGACTGCAGACAGGAAACCAAAACAGACGGGCTTAAAGGGACTTAATCTGCAGTAGCCCTTGTGTCCCAGCACCACTCTTTCATTCAGCTGTATCAGATGTGTCGTCGCTCTGAATCAGGGATTTGTTTGATGATGTTTCAAGTCAAGACTAAAATGTCTTCAAACTGAGGACATGTTGAGTTATACCCAACTGTTACTAGCTCACTCAGCTGCAGGCTATCTAATGTTAACGTTGTAGCAGGTTCAAGCTCCACCTGTACGTTATAAAATTCTGGGAGGCAAACATTGAGACTAGTGGACATCTTTGGAGAACTGCTTACTAATTAATTAAGTTAACATTTTGGCTTAAAATGAAAAAAGCATCAGACCATGGAATCTGGATTGATACGTGATATGCTAAATATGTCACTATCGGCACCTGATAAGAAGATTAGATCGGATCAGTCCCATCAATAGAATAAAAGTATGAATTATATATTAATAACTAATATTTAATATCAGCCTTTCAGCCTCAGTTGCAGAGAAAATGCCTGCCTATTAGTTTTTCTCACAAGGTACCAGACACTACCTTGTGATTACCAGTGTTACCTAACTAACCACACAGCTGCAAGGATAGACGAGGACACAGTGGGAATTATAATGAGAAACGTTCTCAAAATGTTGACTGTGTGATAAGAATTTCTCAGTATCAATACTTTGGGATGTTAAGACAATATTTTGAGAACGTTTCTCTTTGTAGTGATGTACAGAATCCTTTTTTCCCCCATCACATTGGCAGAAATAGCCTTTCATAGTTTTTGGCATGATGTAACCTCCATACAGCTGAGTGCCATGTGTGAGAGCAGGCAGAGATGACGGGGGTTGCCTCACAGAAACCGTTTTAAAGTAGTGACCTTGCAAGCCCTAACGTCACTGTGATATGGTGTCACAGACTTGTGATGTAACAACAATTAAAGTTCCTTCAGGTGAATAATGTAGTTCTATTAGCCTGACTACAAGCTTTACTGTCAATATGTCTGAAAGTCACAATACGGGAATTGGCTCTACTTCCAGTGCTTTAAATAGAACACACAATATTTCTGAGCACGGACTGAGCCAGCTGTGAAACTTCTTTCCGTCAGTTAGTTTACCTGGCTGCTGAGGGACGGCTGCGGCTTCCTCTGGCCATGTCTGAACCGAGACACACTTATCTTTACTGGTGAACCGGACTGAAACCGGGAGAGCTCTGTCGCCGCTTCTAGAAAGTGCTCGTCTGACAGACCGCTGCTCGCGCAAGTGCCGCTGACCTTGTGCGACTGACCGGCTGCGCACGAACCCAACTCTCGCGAACCGTCTTCTGCTGTGTGTTGAGCATTGAGACTGCGGGCACAGCGCCACCTGCGGGACTGGAGGGCAGTGCGTGTATTTTCCACACATTTCTTCTGGGACAAGGAGGTTTTAAATATATATATTTATATATTGGCTTTTTTATGCCTTTATCAGAACCCAGACTGCTGTGGTAAGGACCTGTTTGTGTTACTTTGAATGAACCGAGAAGTCCTATAGATAATTTTATACATATATTCTAGCCAGTGGTCAGATTACTTTGAAATGTAGTAACAAAGATGTTGTTGTTTATCCTAACAATAAACCCTACATTACAAAAGAAATTAAAGATTGTATAAATAGGAAAAAGGTAGCTTTAAGAAATAAAGACAGGGCAGGGCTGTCAGTATTTCAAAAAGAACTCAAACAGCTCCTTACAAAAACAGCACAGACAAACAATGGAACAGAGTTTTTAAACTTTAAACCCCAAAATATTGGGACACTATGGAATCAGTTACAAACATGAATTTTGCAAAACAACAAATTATCACTGTGGATGAACAACAAAAGTCAAATGAGCTGAATGACTTTTACTTGAGGTTTGAGTCACAAAACTTCTCTCAGCAGTATGACAGTATGTTGTTGTCTTTGCCAGATACTGATGCCACCCACTGGCTGGAAGTGGACCCGCCCAGTGTACAGTCCCTTTTTTGTAAGGTGTGCACTAATACGTCCACTGGGCCAGATGGACAGTCAGCTTTCTTGCTTAAAAGCTGTGCAGAGGAACTAACACCACCAACATGGTGTCCCATATTCCAACAGTCTTTGGACACTCACACTGTCCCAGCTTTGTCAAGTCAAGTCAAGTCAACTTTATTGTGAAGTATGTTATACATCTATCTAATAGAAAATACATAAAATAAACAATCAACAAGACATAAGTAAACAACAATCAAGAATTAAGGCACTCGGGTATTTACAGGAGGAAATAAAATAGGATAAATAAATAAGTATTTAAGTAGTGCAAATAAACAGGGGAAAGTGAAGTGTGCAGTCCTGAGTTCAGAGTGTGTGAGTGGTGGGGGGGGGTCACCTGCAATCCGGATGCTGGTGAGGCGGGTTTTATAAAAAAGATATATAAGATCGCTTTCTGCTCTCGTAAGACATCCACAGATAAAAGCTGGGAATCACCTCTCTGTGAGCTTCAGATATATAAAACACTGTAGGACTGAGGGATTCGGTACCAGGGATGCTGATAAGGTTTGGGCTCTTTTTATAGCTGCACTTGATGATGTTGCCCCAATGAAGGAGACTAATTAAAGAGACTTTAGACTTTATTAGACAACAAGATTTATATTTTAGAAAGTTTAACCAGTCAGAATTCAGATATGAGATTGAGAAATTAAAGTCCCAGTTTTATGTTGATGCTATTGCTGAAAAATGTAATTAACGAAATGGGCTCAGCAGGAAAGTCCAAAATAAAATCAGGCGATATTGGGATAGTTATTGAGGATACGATTTGTTTTGATAAAGGGAAGGTTTGCGAGCTATTTTAATTATTTCTACACAACCAACTACTGCAAGTGTGGTTATTAAATGACCCTGTGGTTCAGGGAGATACGGGTTGTCATTTGTTATTTATTATTATAAAGACGACAAAATGTTGAATTTAAAATAAGTCCTGTCTCAGGGGAAAAGGTTAAGGGCGTGTCGAACTGTCCTTTGACACAGTAAATCATCTTATACTGTCGTCAAAGCTGCAGTGCATGGGTTTTAAACATGTGTGGTGTTGACAATATTACATGTGGAGTTCCCCAAGGTCCCTTTTTGGCCCTTTTTTATTTCTCATGTACATTAATGACATGTAAGCTCTTAGTAATAAATAATTTAGAAAGCATGAGAGAGTGGTTCTTAGATAATAAGCCTTTAATATGTTTGGGTAAAACCGGGTCAATCCTGTTTGGAACAAAGAAGAAGCTGTCAAGAACAAATTAGCTAAGGTTCCTTGTTACAGCAGCTCTACATGTAACACAGCAGATAAGAAAAGAAGAAATACACATTGAAATACACATTAAATAACAAAGCCAGCACTGCGTCCTTATTGCGTTGTTGTGAATCATTGCTTTCACAGTCAAACACCACTAGAGCAGGGGGGAAGGATAGATAGCATAGATAGATAGATAGTATAGATAGATAGATAGATAGATAGATAGACTAGATAGACTAGATTAGACTAGATAGATACTTTTATTTATTCCGGGGAGGGAGAAATTCAAGCCATCAGTAGCACGCATACAAATACATTCAGGACATACATTATTAACATACATTAAATTAAATTAACATCCATTCAGAAATAGAAACTATACAAAAAGTAAACTATGTGCAATTAAAATTTAGGCTGTCAACCAATGAATGAAAGTCACATTTAGCAGAGTAGTGCAGATGGAGTCAGAGAATAACAGTTAATGTAAGAATGTCAGGAAAACAGAGCAAATGGGGGAGAGTGGGAGTTAGGTGAAGGGGTTTGGTGGCACAGAGCTAACAGCTGAAACCGCGGGGTGTAAACAATGGAAGCCGTGGGTTGAGTGGGGCTCCCGACGACACACCGGAAAGTTCAAAGAACAATAGTAGGCACATAACTACGAATGTAACAAATATGAACAGTGTTCGCAGGTGACACGAAGGAGCAACAAAAAAGTACATTAAAACACTATAAACTGTGTTAAAAATGCTATATAAATAAAGCTTTTACTTACTTACTTATATATGGATTGGATTGGTAGCACTCATGTCACTGGTGCAATAACTGTGCAATAACAATCTATCTCATACATTACCTGGACACTTCTTTCTTATCTTATTATTTTGTGGCAATAACTTGATCATCATTTCTTATCTGTATTTTAACTTATATACTTTCTACGAATGCCATATTATATTTATCCTCTATACAGTTCTCTACACTTATCTATTGATTCTTTATCTTTTTTTTTCTTCGTATTTTTATTTCTATTCTTATCTCTACTTTCTATTATCATATCTAAGGTTTATTGCTTACTGTTTATTGTTCTATCTATATCTAGCAAAGAGTTTTATTGTTTATACTGTTATATTTTACGTATCTTTTTATACCTTCTTTATTTTTCTACACTGTTTTGGTAAGCTGCTGGAAATTCAATTTCCCTGCGGGAGTCATCCCAAAAGGATCAATAAGAGTCTCAAGTCTAAGGGTCTAGTCTATAAAATTACTGCAGCAGTCAACATTGTCAGTTGACGATTCAAGCAGGAGGGGAGGAACAAAATAAAAAGCTCACACATGTGATTTTCAGTTAAGGAGGAGGAACAGGGCGGGGACATAAAAACCTGACAGTCAGTCACATTCAGACTCCATTTTGAGTCAACAGAGCAGACAATGAGAACAAGAAGGCCAGGAGGCAGGAGGTGGGAGTGTTGATCAGATTTATTATTGTTGTTCAACGTCAAAGATTCATCTGTGGAATCATTGGCTGAATAATACACAGTGAAACCTTAAACCTAACCAAGGAAAACAATCATAGAATTCTCAAAGGCGAACTGGGGAGCAGGTTGGTTTCTTTAATACTTGTTTTTCCTCATTTTTGAGATGCTCTGAGCTCATTGTTTGCTGGTTATCTCCTCAAACTGACTGGAAGTCCAGAAGATCAGTGATCGCGGGGACAGGTGCATCTTATACAACTGGTTGTTTATGTGCAAACTTGTTTAACTATCAGTGAGGTTACCTGTATTTAGTTTCTGTGTTTGCTCTTCAGAAATTTGGATGCTAACATTTTCCTTCTGCCATTTTTTTAATCTCAGGAGGAAAAATGATCATTCATTTCAAAGGAGTTATTCCCTGTCCTTACTTTTTAACTAAATTATTTTCTTCTTTAAATGTTCTTGTAAAACTCTTTGAGAGGCATATCAAGATATATTAACAACTTGCAGGACGAAAATTCTCATACAATGCGGAGCCAGCTTTGGGAAAAAGGAGAGAAAGAGGAGGGACAGGAGCAAAGTCTCAGGATCCAGTTCTCTGGCTTCTATGAAGGGGGGAGTGAACGGGGTCAGCAGGCTAAGAACTCCAGACTTCAGAGCATGAAACCTGGGACCCTCAGACAGGACAGTAGGAGAACAACACTGACTGCCAGTTCATATAATTAATCATTACCATTTTAAGATTCTATATTGTTATACATATAAAGACAGGTGTTTTTTTTCTGGAGAATTATTATGTTTAAAAGTGGAGTGTGCTACTAATACATACTTGAGGGCTAGAATCGATAATTAGACATTGTTTTCCTATTATCTTCATTACCATGATATATAATTCGAAGCAAGGGTGATCAAAACCTTTCATACCAATCTGTATTTTAACATCTGCAGTTAAATGCTAACAGAATGAGGTCGAATGTGTCAGAAAACCAGCAAGGAACTGAACATTTAGTTCATTTATTTCAACACACGTGTAACATCACACAGCTGGTTGTTCAGCACACCAATAAATAACTTTGATTTCACTAAAAACAATACTGGCTGTTCTGTGGCTCATTGGGCACGCATCCCCCAGTAGAACTCCTGGCAGGGAGGTCACATTTTTTAACTTTAGCAATGAAACTCGGCGCAAGTCTATTGCGTTCAACAACGATGGACGATGTCACCGTACTCTTCGGTTTTCATTTTTAGGTCAATCCTGGACCAAATGGTTCTGACGGGGGAGTTCATTTGAGATTTTTGCTGTCTTCTTCAGGGAGTGACAGACAGAGGAAAGGCGGGTGCAGCTGCCTTGGTCTCCCCTTGGTTGCCACGACATCAAAGCCTGCCCCTCTCACATACACATACACACATAGCCTTAGTACAGAGGAGCTATTAAGGTACTTAATATGCTAGCGGTAGAGGAGTGCTCTTACTGCTCTGTGCTAGAGAGTATGACCAATGTTATTTAGTATAGGGCCAGAGTCAGGCAGCACTCAAAATTTCTTTAGGAATGTTCTAGGAACCGGTCGTTACCGGGGGAAGGGGCGAGGCTTCCTCCTTGGTTTGAACATTAGTCATAGCTCTGTTCTTTAAGGAATCTATTTCCTTCTCTAAGGCTGCTTGGCAACTGAAACGCGCAAAACTGGTTTGCCTGGTGGAGTTAGGCAAGCCCAAACATCTCAGCAGATGGAACTTTTTGGGAATGCCGTTTTTGGGAGCATCGCAACTGTCATTGAGTCTATTTCATTCCTAACATCACTGCGAATTCAAAACTGCTGATGAAATTGAGGGTAATAATAAATGGCTCTACCAGGGATTTCTCCATTGTTCTGTGTGGAATGGAGGGAGGAGACTGTAGCACATTGGTTGTGTACTTGTGGTGTTGCGTGGCAATGACACCTTTGTAGTGTAGCTGGGGGCAGTACACTTATCTAAACCAACCACTGTGGTTGGCCTACACTGTGGGGGTAGCTTTCCTGCGGGAAGGAGAGGATGCTACAAGACCATCTAAATGGCTCTGGTGGGCACAACAAATACTCACATGCACTAATGGATATGCAGGGCATAACATTTCAGGGGGATTAAACGTTTACACAGGCTGGAACACACAGGTAGTAACAGCTAGGTAGGTAACTTTAATTTTTCACAGGGCTGCGTAGCACGCTGGTCGCTCTATCTCAGGTTCTACTTCTTACTGAGGCTTAAATGCAAGGCTGAATCAGTCAGGTACAAGCTGTATTTATCACAGGGGACGGCTTTGCACACTGTTTCTTAGTCAAAGGGCAGCGTTAGGTTACAACAATTTACTTTTTGGGATAGAAATGCACTTGAAATGCTGTCTAATTCAAATGTGAACCAAATTCTTAGTTCTTCCTTTACAGGGTAGGTTTGACTCAAGAATAGCTAGCAGCAACAGGCAAACTCTTTAAGGTTAACTCTGTAGGGCTGAAATCATATTCTCAAATTCTTTAATTTGACGAATCAATACATTTTACCACAATGTACTTTGGTAAGTACAATTGGGCATTGTTTTTTTTTTTTTTTTGGTGTTTTCCTTAGCTGCCCAGGGGTTGCATACTAGTGGGGTATTAGACTTTTTGGAAAATTTTAGACTGAAATCTAAAAAAAAAATTCGGCCAAAAATATTGGCTGGAATATTTAATATCGTACAATTCTGATCTATACTCAACAAGTATTACGCCTCACCACAGGCGCACATTTTTGGACTCGTTTGGACATTGTTAGGGATGATACCGGGTGTTTTGGTCTGTATTAGTTTAATCAACTAGATGTTATCAAATTATTTAGTATAAGTGAGTATAGTAGTAGTAAAGTATCAAAAGATAAAGAAGAAGACGTTAAGGTAATATTAAGATCCGTCTCGGGCACCACCCTTAAACGAATAACCAATAATGATTGAATCAGTCTACATAAAATTACACACTCAAACTATTCAGAAGTCAAAGATTAGATAATTAAAATTAGTTAACTACAACCAGAATCGTTATTAACTCTGTTAAGTTATCATGTCTATTGAGGCAGTACGTTACCGACCAGTCCAATGGGGAAGATGAAGGAGGAGTTGCGCGTGAGCTGCTTGGGGGTCAGCCGGCGGTCTGGGTGAGCCAGGCTGGATCAGAGTAAATTGTGATGGGTTCTGAAGTCAAACTATGTCAGCTGTTTCTGTTCTGGGTGGCGGATATTGTACATGCGCAGATTAGATTATATGGTTTATGAACTACACATTGAATCAAAAAAGTCTTACTTATTGTATATCACACAGTCCTTATAAAGAAACTGTCATTCACAAGGGAGAGAGGAGGGGTTAAGAGGCATGTTGGTGTGTTTTCGTGTGCTCAGGGAACGTCTCTGGGACTGGACGTAGGTCCATGGGTCTTT